TGTAGCAGTTGAGTTCATGGAGCTGTGCAGTGTTCCCAAGACAGTATTTTATGTAAATGTACTTCTCATAAAAGTGGTGCATCACTTGATTCTTTCATATTATTACAAAAGTCAATCTGCCATGACTTATAAACCTAATATGAAGGAATCAGGTGACTTTTATTGAGTAGTATATTAGAATGTCATTTTACAACAATTACCCACTAATGCCTTGGTGTTTATAGTAAACTCAGACCAAATGTTGAAATAATCACCAAGTCTTGTTGCTCTGGTACGATGTGACGTCTTGTACATGGAAGAATATATTTTACGCTTGAATACGTACCAGTCAGCATTATTCCAGCTTTATTCCTAAGGTGCTTAAACAACCTGGTGTGCATGAGGCAAACCAATCCATGAAATCATGATCATAGCAACATTAAAGTCAGAGAGCCTGACCACCGATCAGTCAGTCGAAAGCATTGGCTACCAGGGAGCAATTACAAAATGGAATCTGCACATGCCTTCTGCATTTAGACTAAAAACAACAATTTAACTCTTTGAGAAAAAAAATACAACTACTGAAAATTTGACAACTTCTAAGTTTGAAAATGTCCAAATGTGAGACCAATATGTACATTTTAGTTTCTCCCTAATACATCCTTGCCCCAAAAGTGAATTCATATTCATTTGGTACAGCAAAGGTTACTTTTGAAATCAATACTGTCTGCACGCTAGTGTTCAACAAATCTTCCCTGCAAGTTTATACCTTATTCATACCATAACAGTGTCTACAGTAAGATGTAGTAACATTCAGTAACATCCAGAAAATCCATACATTATTCTAGGTAGATATGAAATTTATACACCAACCGAGGCGTCACTATTTGCTGTAATTCTCTCCCCGTTCACCAAATCGGACTATAACGAAAAAATAATTCATGAGTGGTACTTGAAAATATGAAAATAGTCCAGCCGTCCAACATATGTGCCCAGCGAACGTTTCTTTCTTTTGATGTACGCCATTATATATACACTGTGTCATGGACAGAGATTAACAGCAAGGAAATTGCTTAATGCTGGAGACAAGAGTTGAAGATGATTTGCCTCTGCGGGGAGACATGATTTGGTTACAGTATGTAGGACATCACCTCTGCCAGCCCCAGGTCATGATCAACTGGTGCGGTATCCCAACTTGGAACACGGGTGCTGCAACCACTTGAACTTTAAGCCCTACGCTCAGTGTATTTCTTGGTAATGTGCACATGCTTGGCTTAAATATTATCTTGATTACCAGTGGTCCCTTCCCCACTAAAAATCAATGGATAGTCTATTTCCAGGAACCAAGCGGAACCCCCGGAGAAAGTTTGGAGGATCAGCTCTCATCAGCTAAAAGCAAAGATCGCGCAAGTCTTGGGAATACATCGCATTCTCATCTAACTTTTATTTCCCTTGTGCTGAACTAGTCTACCGAGTGGTCTGAAATTATGACACCCTGGGCACTGAAATTGATTATGCTCTGACTACAATTAAATCCACACAAAAGAACAAACTCAAGTCACTTGTTGCCAACTCCCTGGTCTATGGAAAAGGTATCTGCAATTTTGGTCATAATCGAGCTTTGGGATTCCGAAAAACATCCTTTACATCTCAAGGGAACGATCAGGAATAATTTTCATTTTATTTGCAGCAATTTCTAAGAGAATTATAAAGTGCGATTTTCAGGATAGATGACCCCTGCCTTTAGAGCTCTTAATGTCTATTATATAGACTCCCCTTTCTATCAACTTTAATTAAATTTCCTGCAAACTCACGTGTGACAAAGACTAGCGCCAGTCACAAGGTGCATGAGAGTGTTACGGTACAATTTCTTCCTTTTAGACACAGTAATTTGGTCTTCACCCTTGTAATACATGCTGTATTTGATAATGACAAAGTCAGATGGGATATACTAATGACTGCAAAAGTGGCCTAGTAGTTAATGCGTTTGCTCATTACACGATAATCACAGGTTCGACTCCCCAAAATTAGGTTCAATGTTTGATGACTATCAAAGTAGATATTACGGATGTACTGGGACTTTGTAAAACCTCACTAATATTAAAGGCAGGAGCGCCAGTCTCTTACAATTTATGTTAAAACCTGTCGTAAATACATAGTTTATCACAGGCTTATGAATGTCATAGCTCTACGAAAGCCTTGTGGATCGGGCCCCAGCTGATCAAGTTTTTGTGACGCCGGCAAGCTCATAATATCAAGCACTAGTTTACTTGGTACACACTTGCCGATTTACATGCTTAAATGGCTGGAATACTGCCAAGTACAGCATTAAACAACAATTAACTCAATAAGCACACACACCTGGAATCTTACAATGGCCCGAGGTCCTTAAAACGTAAAACACATGTTGCTGATATAAAATCTAACATGTTAGCAGTCCGGCGTTTATGGAAATAAGCATCTGATCTCTACACTTCATCACCTGAGTTAAATATGCATTAGAGACACATTGTATCAGAACGTAGGATTCATAACAACTTAGGTGTCGCCACTATTGGGTGTTGATATACCAGACATCTTGCTAGTCTCTAAAGGATGCACACTATCTTCAACTAAACATGATAGATAATGTCAGAGAAATTCCTTTCCTGCCCTGAGATCAAGACAATCTGACTTCAGTAACCCATTCTCATAAAAAAACAATAAGGTTGACTATTTTGGTAACCAAATGCCCAAATTGGCAGTGTCTTTGACGCCCCCTTCTGGAAATGATAATCTTTGTAAAGGAATTAGTTGAATGCTGAAAGAACCTCGTAGCATTACTGTCAATGTGCACCAATTTGCATGTCTGATGATGAGTTATCAAGGGACACACACAGCGACTGGCCCAACCATAGGTATCACCAGCAACGTATCGGCCAGACTGCACAGTAAATGCCTACTAAACTCCTTGACAATTCCCAGAGGCAAACACCTATTTAAATTCCGCCCCATGATGTGACCAAATTGTTTTGGATTAGTAAAGGCTAGGATTAACAGTATCGTTTTGCTAATACGCTTCAACAATTATCCCCTGACTGATCTTGTAAAGATGTGGCCTTCACGGGTTGATCCAGTAAATTTAATCTTCATTTACAAACGCATGCATTTTCTCTTAAAATTACTCCAATGCCATGAATACAAATTTGATCAATTTAACTCAGATGAAATTCAAGGTTTAATTCAAACTTTGAATGTCTTAGAAGGAATAATTCTACATAAAGGACTCACTTCAAAAGCAGAAATATGTAAATTAAACAGATGCATAATTGCTAAACTGGTGAATGAACTGATTAATCTCTGCAAAAGTACATTGCACAGAAAATTAAACAGATGCATAATTAACCTGAACTGGGGGAATAAATAGATTTTAAAAACAACACAATCACTGTCAAAGTACTATGCAAATGTCTGAAGACAAAGTAGATATTACTGACACACTGTTAAAGTATGGTCAAACCTAACAAGTATCAAAGGCAGTACTCCAGTACCATGTAAAGTACTTAAATTTTTAAAAGTAATTCATGTCCATGCACATTATTTTAAATAGTCCCAACATATGCTCCCTTCATCAACAGTCTTGTCCAATCTGCTGGCAACTAACCCCATTCACAGCGTGAAGCTATTTAATATCCTGTTCTATCTGTTTTCCCTCAACCAAAGCATTGATCAAAACACTGACACAAGGCATCCAGCAGGTTTCATTGTCCTACAGTGAGCAAGTATAGGAGAAGACGCCCATGAAATATGGACAATTTAAATAAATTATTTCTCTGTGTTGATGAATTCCAATTTGCACTGTCTATGACAGTTAGTTTCTCGCTTCTGACTATATTATTTAGGTCAATTCAAATTAATTATTTTTAAGTTTCAAATATGTTTTGGCTATGGAACATGTATGTTTGATATTTGTATGCTCTTGGCACAATTACCTAACCAACTAAACAAAGCCTTTAAATAGTTATATATTAGTTTTCAGATTTACATGATATGTTTTAACTTAACCCTTTTCTGAAGCTTATACAAAGCAAATATAGTACCCAAGTACCTAATTATGTTCTAATCTAAAACCAAAAATCCCTGGTAATTCGGTCATCTTATTCCAATGCATGTCTTAGTAAGCCGTTTTGTACAGTTTACCTTATTAAGACAGTGTTCACGAAAAGCGTCTGACCCTCTGACAAATCCGACAGATTCGCCAAAGGTCTGATAGAAGTCTACAACCCACCAGCCCCAGTGTCTGACTGTATATTTCACAATGACTTTGACTGAAGTTGTTATATGTGACACTTGTTTGCTGTTTATAAATCCTATGTTTGTTAATAATTTCAATGCCAATTATAAGAAATGTTAAATCTGAAATGTGTGTTTAATTTTATTCTTTGGGTCCTGTGAGAATTTTCAATGGGTCAGACAGACATCTGAAGCTTACAGGACCCAATGTCCTGTTACTTTGAAACACCATTCGTGAACACTGTTAAGATTGAAAAAACACCTCATAAACCCTGAGGTTACCTACTGAATTGAGATTCCCCAGACATATATTTTGAATGTACATTAACTCAGATCTCTGAACCAAAGTAACCTAATAAATAAGTGATTCTATAACATCAATGAATTAAGACTTACCTTTCCTGTAGAACTGAACAACTCAACGTTTGCCTAGGATCAAAAGTTACCTTTAGTTAAAGGTACGATCCTGAGCAAAAGTTGAGTGGTATAACGAATCTGAAGCTAATGTCCCACAACAATCTTACCTTAGTACACGCAACTATTGTAAGTACACGACTTACGACAGTTGCAGTGCTAAGACAGCAACAGGGTCCACAGGTAAGGTGTATGAACAGATAGTAGCACCGATCAACATTCAAAGTTCAATTGTTTTGACTTTGTGGCGTTTGTTTCCAGCTTGCAAACAAACTTTGAATAGTGAACGCACTGCATGTCTTCATGACTGTACCACTCCCGGCTTAAATACTTACGAGATTTCTCCGAATACTTTGAAAGCTTCACGTAACTGGTGTCCTTCAATATCTGGACTCAGATCCCCGACAAATATGTGAAAGTGTTCTGCAAGAGAAAGGAAATCAAATTATGGAATCGGTACACCTTGACTCACCCCTCTCTTTTCCAGAGGGCTCGTTACCAAAGTAATATCAGGATAAGCAGCATCCAAACAAACATGTCCCTTCCCCCCTCCAAACCTCCCCCATCCCATCCCCAAAGTTACCCACAATCCATTCCTTCTTCAGACCCACCTTGTCCTGGGACTGTAACTTTTTTGCGCCACCATGTATCAAATCTTTCATGGAATGAAGTTCACTTTCAAAATCTGTACCTAGCACAAAACAGAACCTGGTTCTCTTAAACCAAAAAAGAAAAAATTCTCTCCCCGTTTTGGCTAATGGTAGATAGATTTCTTTTTTCATTTTTTGTTTGTTTCATAATTAGGTGGGCAGTATTAATGAAATAAGTAAGACACACATACCATACGTTGATCTTAACCACTCTGAAATGCAGGAAAGAGCCTCATCAGTCATAATAAAATGTGGAAACAACAGATATAGTACTAACTAGAGCACGAACATCCAAGGGGCAAAATGGTCCCAAACTTCAACACTTTTTTTTTTTTTTTTTTTTTTTTTTTTTTGAATTTACTTATTTATTTTTGAGAAAAACAATTCAACACACAAACTCAAATGAATTTATTCCTTTTTGAGTTTCCATGTCTAAACAGATATTCCCAGTGGAAATTTGACAAAGTTAATCCCAGTGTCTAGATGTTCATCAGCTTCCAAAGTTGTTTGTAGAATATCCTGTTCAAATCCATAAACTGAGCGCAGTTTATCACAGGCATGGATTTCCATTACGTCAAATTTCCACAGTGTTAACTCAAAACATGGATTAAATTGATGTTTAGTTTTATCATTCGTTTTATTAGTAAACAGTTTAACGGAATTAGGGCAATTTGAACACAACAGATGGTCCTGGGCATAGAGGTAAAGAAACTGTGCACCTTGAGACATGAGATGATTGTTTCTCTTTCAAGAAACCAATGTGGATCCTTAATCTGGAATAAAACTGCACAAAAAATAGAGAATCAAACCAGCATCACAAAATAACACGCTGAAAGTAAACCCTATATTAACACACAAAACATCAAAATATCACTGTTCAATGTCCTTGTCACCGGCTATGAAGTCATCTGTCAAACAAGACAGACCACGCTAACTAAAGAAGACATATAACAAATCTTCAGCTTCGCAGAGTACCACACTTGCATATGTTGGTTGGTCTAGCTTCCCTCCCCATCAATCTAACGCCTGTGAGCAGATTGGCTCTTGGCAAGGATCACGACCTTGTCTGTTCAATATTATCTCACTAATGGCACTAAACAGTCTAAATGTTTGGACACAAAGATCAGATGAGGCGCAGGTGAAAGCTATTGGTGACAGAATAACCTCCATGATTCCAGACACAGCAGGACTAATATAGACCCATCACTGCCAACCAACATGTTGGGGACAGATCCAAGCAATCTTAAGCATGTTGTGGAGAGTCCTTGAAGTCTGACTTACACACAGCATCATCAAACACCATCACTCACTTTCTTAATGTAGTGTAGCAATGCACTGAAGAGGCTGGGTGATAAAATGAAAAATCTAGAGAATATTGGGAAAATTCAAATTGAAATTACATCCAAATTAGGGTAATGGAATCGTATTTCCATTGAAAGACATTTGGAGAATGTTCCCTCAAATATCAGTTTCAAGCCAACATCAGCATCACTAACGCCTCGCCACGACAGGTTCCCCTATGAATACCAATCCATAAAAGATATGACAAAATACTTGTTGAAGATAAATTTTGACACTTCACTATTTCTGCTTTTATCCAATAACTTCTTACTAATTTCTTTTAATTCAATATATTTCAAAAGCACCAGTTTTCATTTGCACCTTTAAGACTTTTAAAAGGTTAAGGACGGCATACTACGATCAATTATACACGATGTTAAAGTTTTAACCTAGTCTGTCGAATAAAACAGCCGTGAACTATTTGCTGACGTGGTTTCAACACCCGTTGTGATCACAGTAGTTGATAATGAGGTGGTCAAAATGATTACAAAGAAAACAATTTGTGATTATTGGACTTGACATTCACAGAAGTAAATTAAACTCTGCATGAAGCATAACAGGCTGGCAACGAAATTACACCATTATTTGCCGAGTCCAACACCACTGGCTTGACATCACATTTGTGCTCGTACTTGCTGATCAAAGCAAGTGCATCTATTTGTTTTATAAATGCTTCTGTTCTGTTCTCCAAATCAGCAAAACATCTTCTTTTAGATTTGTATTTAAAAAAACCCTGATGTTTAGTGTTACAAATTAAAGGAGCATGGTGTCCTTGTGGTTTTCAATGGTATCTTAATCTTGGTATCCTTAACATTGCTGGGGCGGTGGGGTAGCCTAGTGGTTAAAGCGTTCGCTCGTCATACCGAAGACCCGGGTTCGATTCCCCACATGGGTACAATGTGTGAAGCCCATTTCTGGTGTCCCCTGCTGTGATATTGCTGGAATATTGCTAAAAAGCGGCGTAAAACTATACTAACTCACTCACTCACTCACTTAACATTGCTAATTTCTAACAGCGAGTTAGCGAGGTAATATTTAACATTGCATAAGCATTATTTCTGTTTAAGAGCAACAAAAAATCTAAAACATTAAGGAAATTATGAAGAGACCTTGATTTTTTCTTTTATTTGAAAATACCTCAAATTAACTGTTTTCAGGATAGAAATGAATACCTTCATATCTGAGCAAAGAATGCTTCCAATAAGCAAAAAATACACATAATAAATTAAATAAATATTAAAAAAAATTAAACTGCTTGCCTGGGATGAAAACTATATCCACCAGTTTTATAGGTTACACCCAAATGAAAGAAATTAATTCAAGCATCAATAATTAATTTCAGTAATTTGTTGCAAAACACCCAACACACACACATAACCTTAGCTGGATTTAATAACTTTGTGGCTATATTTGCTACACGCATTGGTTTGAAATTGGAAACAAGAGCTTTCACCATATTTGTTCCAAAGTTCAAATGTTTCAAGTCACCAAATTTTAGGCTGGTTTGATGGACGGACATTGCAGCAGTGTTTCAATGAAGAGTCTACTGAACAAGTACTATAGGAGCCTCTGGAGTTTTAACTGTATAAAGTGTTCATTTGACTTCTGTGATGCTTACTGGGAACGAGGCAGTTTCCCTCGTTAATTCAATTTGGACGATTTTCGATCCTATAATCAACAGCAATCTTCGGAAGGCAGATTTTTTTTTATAGCATGTAATAATGTTATAAATACTGATAGACTAGAACGAGAGAGTTCGCAGGAAAGAATTGATTGACGACAGATCAAAGGTGTTATTGACAAGCTTATAAAACAAACTCCAATTTGGCTTCATCCTATTGCTTTCAAACATTACGGATTAGAGGGATATGAAAAACATGCGATACAATGCTTGTGTAATTGTTCGGACAACGAGCATTCACAAACAGCTACAACAGACACAACGAATTAAATCCAGCTGTATATTCCCTAACTGAATCAGTCTATGACCCTCAAAGCCTGCTGCGAATTCAGAAAAGCTGTGCTGAAAGATTACCCTCAGAATAAAATCTACAGGAGAACTAGATCTAATTGGTGATCAACTAACGACTAGGGCTGACTGCACGATGGCTGTGTTTCAAATCACTTCTAACGTGGATGTATTGGCAGGCCAGTCCAATCGCCAGCTCTCCAACTCTCATAATTGAAGATAAGTTACTTTCCACAAGGGAGAGATAAATCGTAATGTATGGAGGACAAAGGTTTTATTACACCCTCTATTGGTTATTCTTGGAACTGAAAACCCCTACAATGCAACGGTACAAGTAATCATGGTGGATTACCATATCTGCGAGTGCTTGGTGACCAATCTTTGGCTCACATACTACCACCTCTAGAAATCCTCTCTTAATGACTGGCATAAGCCTGATATGCAATCACTCCATAGGAAAAATGAGGAGGTTTTAACGTGAAATTAGCATGGCAAATATTTTGGTCAAACCAAAAAAAGAGTGACAATAATGCTGTTGCTAACAGCAAAATTAGGAAGTTTGCTGATCACATAATGACAAAAAGAAAAATTTCAAAAGAATTTGAATATCCTCGAGCTCAGTCTTGAGACTTTTATTGTGATTCTAGTCAAGGGAGGCAACTCTCCTTCAAAACCATCATCGTAAATGTGGATCTCAATTGTCTTTAAACCTGTTTAGGAATCAAATGCGTCGTTGACATGGTTGTAGTATAAATGAAGAGACGTCTTAGAAATAAAAACGGAGATCAGGAAAAGCAGATTTAGAGCGATTTGAACAGAATTCACAACAAATTGAGGAAGCGTTAATCAAACTTTACTCTTCTTTTGAAAATTGTCACCTTTGTCATGTTTTTTTCAGAAATTTCGTAATCTAAGTGCTGTAGGCTACTTTGAAATTCAAATTAGAAAAACACTTTTTTGAGCATGAACCCGTGAGCAATTTGTTGGCTTTAATTAGCTTTGCCTTAGGCTTAAAGAGCGAGGGCCTCACCAATAATTCATAAGACAAACCATTTCTCGAGGGGTAGCAAAATTCTACAGTTATTTCTTCACTTAGTACAGAATATGACAGGCCAAAACCTTGCTGGGGATTTCCCAAGCTGATTAATGAATAATTAACAATCAATCAATACAATCATCCTGACAGCTACTGGAAAATTTTGATAGGCAAAAATTCCCTATGGTGCGAAATGGATAAGTTATGCATCGGCCATCGGAACGAATGGCAAAGCTGTTGAATTTTCCCCGCCAGTGGCAATCTTCATGTGTCAATATTTGCCACGTAATAGATTATATTTAACTTCCCAAGTGTCTCCGATCTTGAACGAAAAACACAATTTGGGATTTGAAAAGTGAGAATTTGCAAAATCATCTTTGTAATCACAAGACTGCGGAGTACGGGAGTGAACACTGAATCAGGATGCGAGCCAATTGTATCTTTTTTTCAAAATGATTAATGTCTGCCAACATTTCAATTGATATTTTCCCCTCTATAAAACATTAGATATATGTGATAGGGAAAAACCCAGAGATATTGAATTTCCTCAGCCATAAACTTTACTCCCCAATTTTTGTCTTGACGAATCTAGAAATGCTGCTCATTACAACGCAAACATTTTACCACAGTACAAATCCTGAAAAACATTATTTCCAATAACCATGGATAGAAAATCATTATTCTTTAAACGCCATAACAGAATTGGCAAAATAATATATAAAAAATTCCTTCATGAGATGACATTCAAACTCACAGTTATGCAACAACAAAGTGATGCTCTGGTTAATGTAACAGCAGAGGACTTTGCCACTGATTTTACTTCATCAAACAAAACCGTGATGTAAAATTCCAAAATACCAAAATTG